GGCGGGGCGGGGCGGATCACGCTAGAGACAATGGACGTCATTACCGGTGGTCTCCGTGTCAAGTGAGCGGGCCGCCCTAGAGGAGCCGTGTGTGTGTGTGTGTGTGCGGCTCATTGTGCCCCCAGCACACATTGCCCTATGAATGAAAGCTGAATACGCGCGGTTGTGGCAACACGAGCGTCGCGCCCCGTAATTGGCGAGGGAAAACGCGACAGAAAAAGAAGGGGGAGGGGGGGGGGGGGTTGATCACCTACTGTGGTCCCGGCGGAAAGATGCGCGGATAAAATGTTTTACCCAGTCATTTCCCCATGGATGTGCTAGCCGTATGTTATGGAGAATTTTGTGCAAACGTATTATGGATCACAAATTATCCATAATATTGATCAAATTGTCCGTAATATGGACAATTTTATCCATATTATGGATGATTTGTGATCCATAATACGTTTGCACAAAATTCTCCGTAAGCGAGTCCATAGGGAAATGAGAGTGTACTTCATTGAATCCTGTCTTGTAGGTCCGGTTTTGTCGCCTTATAACGATTTTCGCCCAGTGAATGCGTGTGCTTGTCATTTTTAAACAAATTGAAGTTTCAACTAAATTCGAATTTGCGCTTTGTGTGTGTGTTTTGCCGACAAAGACGACCTGGGGGTAAGGCGGCTCATATATGACGTACGGTTGCACACTGGCACAAAAGCGTCTGACGGGACGGGACCGACAGAGGACGTCCGCGCGGGCGCCCCGGGGCAAGCGGCGGGGCGGGGCGGCCTGCAGAGCTCTCTGGCGGCCGCGCGGCCAAGCCATTCCCCACGCTATGCCCCGGCCTTTGGCAGTAGTTATAACACAGGAGGTTGAGAGGAGGGAGGGGAGGGAAGAGGGGCAGGGGAGGGAAGGACGGAGGCCATAACTTAGGTTCTAGATTGCGAGGAACATCATGTCCAAGCCCAGCGCGGTGGAGACAATATGGTTTATGATAAGCGGTAATATCGTCCCTGTGAGGAATCCGGTGCCGTGCGGTGCCGTGCGGTGCCGTGCGGTGCCGTGCGGTGCCGCGCCGCTCGGCGCACTCGCGATGAAAACGGAGGTGTGGCTGCGCGGGCCGGGGACGGGACACGCGAGAGAGGCGCTGCACTTCCCACCCGATGACGGCTCATCTCCGCTCCGCCCTCGTCTCCGCTCTCGCCAAAACACGATCATTTTAATTGGTTTTAATCTTGCCTTTTTTCTGTGTCCTTTTCCGCGCAGGCGGTGTCCGCTACTCGCTGTACCCTGGCGACCCGGACGGGTACTTCAGCATCGACCCCGTGTCCGGCGGCATCCGGACGGCCGCCATCCTGGACCACGAGGCGCACCAGTCTGTGCTGCTGAACGTGCAGGCCACCAGCGGCGACCCGCCCGCCTACGGCCACACCCAGGTGAGTCTCTCGCACATTTCTTTCTCTTCCGTAGCCTCCTCAACGCGCCTCCCGCCTCCCGCGGCTCCCTAGCGGGCTGGGGCGGTGGAGGTGGCCGAGGCCCTTTCGGCCCTTTCTACCGATCCGATAATGGCTTCGACCAGCAGCCGAACGGAATTTGACGTAATTTGTCGGTCTAATGTGGGCGGGCGGTGAGGCTGCCGTCCAATGTTGCGTGCCGTCGAGAGCCAGCCGCGCTTGTGTGTGTTTGTGTGCTTGCGTGCGTGCTGCCCTGCGCCCCACGCCACGCCCCGCCTGACCTGCCCCACGCCGCACGCCACCTTTACGCCACCGATCGGCAGCCACATTTCTTTTCTTCTTTTTCCTGATCCGGCGTCTCGTCTCTGCCCCTCCTCCCCAGGTGAACATCAACATCGAGGACGTGAACGACAACGCGCCCGAGTTTGACTCGCGGACGGTGCGGATCTCGCTGCCGGAGAACTCCCCCCTGGGCGAGCCCCTGTACGCGGCGCTGGCCCGGGACCGGGACTCGGGCAAGAACGGCGAGGTCAGCTACCGCCTGGGTCTCGGACCGGCCTCCGGGTCGTCGTCCAGGACCCCCGGGTCCGCGGCGGCCACCTCGAGCCGGCCCCAGTTCGTGGTCCACCCTCGGACGGGACACCTGACGCTGACGCGCCCGCTGGACTACGAGGCGGCCCAGCGACACACCCTGGTGCTGACCGCCACCGACAACGGCGACCCTCCGCTGTCCGCGAACCTCACAATCCAGGTCGAGGTTCAGGACGTGAACGACAACCCGCCCGTGTTCGAGCGACCCAACTACGCCATCAGTATGCCGGAGAGCCAGCACGTCAACGCACAGGTTAGTGTCCGGATGGGCAGACGGTTTTGAAATCTTCTCTCTTCAATGATGACCTCTTTCTTACTATAACCTTTTCCTTCCAGTTGGTTCAAGTGACGGCTGTGGACTTGGACACGGGCAACAACGCCCGCATCACGTACCGCCTGCTCCTGGACGACTCCGAGGACCCCGACGATGTGCCTCTGGCCGTGGCGCCGTCCACCGGCTGGCTGACGCTGCGCTCCCCTCTGGACCGCGAGAGCCGCGATCGCTACCAGGTCGCCGTCGTGGCCCGAGACTCGGGGACGCCACCCTTGTCGGCGACTACGACCGTCACCCTGACCGTGCTCGATGACAACGACAACGACCCCGTGTTCGTGCGCGAGCGCTACGAGTTCGCCGTCGAGGAGAACGTGCCGCGCGGCGCGGTGCTCGGCGTCGTCAGGGCCGTGGACAAGGACCTGGGGCCCAACGCAGCCATCCGCTACGCCCTGGTGGGCCTGAGCCCCGGCAACAACAGCTTCGTCGTGAACCCCGTGACAGGTACGTGGCGGCTAGCTGAGCTCCAGGAGGAGGGGAGGGGAAAGGGGGAGTGTTTGTTCAGGAGGAGGCCAGGTGCCGCCGGGCCGGGACAGCTTCACCAATGTTTGGTTATTGGATGCGTTTTCCGTGTCGGCGTGCAGCAGGGCGTAAGCACAGGGCGTAAGCACAGGCCGGCCAGGAAGCGGGCTTGAAGGGAAAAGGGGGGGGTGTCAGAGCGAACCGCCGCCGCCGCCGTCAGGCAGCAGAGCAAAAGCGCGCGGCGCTCCAACGTCTCCGTGAGTCGCAGCGCCGCCGCCGCCAGATAAACGACAACGTGTGTGCATTTCATATTGAAATGTATGAAATGTGAGCCCGGCAGAGCGCGGCATAGAGAGGCCGCTGCAGTAACGGGGACGCGCTCACACATACACACACGCTCACACTCACTCACACTCACACACTCGCGCCGGCCGTCAGCGCGCCGCGAATGTAGGGCTGCGCGAGCCGTGCGCACGGGGGGTGGAAACCGGGGAAGGTTTGTGGAAGGTGCGCGGCGGAGGAAGAGGGGAGAGGGGGGAAGGGGAGGGGGGAGGGCATTACCATACCGCATGCGACCACCTCTACTGTGGTGCCAATCAACCCGGAACTGTCACATTTCGAACGGTCGCTGTTCTTGTTCTCGTGTGTATGTGTGTGTGTGTGTGAGTGTGTGCCGTGCCCCGATCTGCTCAAGAGAAGTCACGGACAGAAGAGGAGGAGGAGGGGAGGAGGAGGAGGGGAGGGGGAGGATGCCACATACGTACCGGTACTTCGGGTACCTTGCGGCCTGCGGCAGCTCAGTCGGTAGTGCGTGGCGTGGCGTGGCGCGGCGGGGTCCTCTCTGCAGGGCGAGCGCCGCGGCGCGCCTCCCGATCGCTATCGCCGCGATAATCGACTGGACCCGCCACGCCGGAGCTTGGCGCCGCCCGCCGCCCCGGTGCAGCGGCGTGGGGATGCGCCTCCTGTGCGCCGGCCGCCGATGCGCCGCCCAAGCGACCCTCTAGGGAGGGTTCAGTAGGCCTCATAGGGAGTAGGAGTTAGCAAGTAGGAACCTCACCGAGGGGGACCTGGAGGGATCCACGAGACACGGCCAATGTCGACCCGGAGGTATTCCGACTGTAAGCCTAAAGGGGTGGCTTGAGCAGAGCGCCTCCCCCAGGTCTCCACCGGCTCCACCCTTGGTGTGGGAGGTTGGGAGGGTGTCCCGGACGCCGGCCCACCGCCGTGCACCGCGCGCCGCCGCTCGGGACGTACCCGGGCCGAGCCCGTGGGCGGACGGGGCGCGGGGCGCCGCAGGACACGAGGGACATTTATGCCCCGACCCACCCCGACAGGGCCCTCGCCGGCCCTCGACGCCCATGGGCACCCCGTGAGACTCATCCTCAAGGCCATTAACGTCCTTAAATGGGACAGCATTTTATATACGCGTAACATAAAACAGGGAACGAGATTAGGAACGAAAATAATGTAACTATAACTCTTTGCGAACGAAGAGCAGCGGGGGCTGTGGTGTGGGGTGGGGCGGAGAGGTTTGGATTCCCGTTGTTGGTTCAACGATTGCAGCCCGCCGAGACACTGGCTTGTCTGTGCGGGACGGGGGCAGCTAGTCTCGGCTCATTGAAGCACCCTCTTGGCGGGGTGCGACGGCGCCCGTTCGTGGAAGTTAGTCGAGCTAATGCTCCGCAGCCGTTGCCCCGCGCTCACGCAGCCCCGTGCACGCACGCTCCCAGCGGCCGCTGCCTGGCCCGACCCGGCGGCCCTCTCCACGGTCGTCTCATTTTCTATGGAAAGCGGGACTGAAATTAAGGCGTGCGGCTTGCCGCTTCGCAGACGTGACAGCCTCCATGGAAATTGCTCACTTTGTTTTACTTTGTTTCCCGCTCTCTTAACGGCGACTTCTTTCTTGTCCTGCAGGAGAGATCTCGACGCGCACGCCTCTGGACCGCGAGGCCCGCGCCGAGTACGAGCTGGTGGCCGAGGCCAGGGACGGCGGCTCCCCCGCCAGGTCGGCGCGCGTGCCCGTCAAGGTGACCGTCCTGGACGTGAACGACAACGCCCCCGAGCTGGTCGATCCCCAGGACGATGTGCTGAGCGTCCGCGAAGAGCAGCCTCCCGGCACTGAGGTCGGGCACCTCCGCGCCGTGGACAGGGACCTGGGCGCCAACGCGTCCGTCACATTCTCCATCATCAGAGGTGAGTTGGAAGAGGCCAAGTGTCTGCAAACGGGCCAAAGTAAAACGGCTCGTAGAGGACCGCCCGTTTGCCGACTTTGGTCCCAGCCCCGGACGGCAGAGTTTCCTCACGCCGCTGTTCTCCTGTTCCAGACCGCGACTCGGAGGCCGCAGGGCTGTTCACCGTCGACCCCGTGTCGGGCGTGATCCGGACCCGCGCCGTGCTCAACCACGAGGACCGCTCCATCTACCGGCTCCAGGTTGCGGCGACGGACGCAGGTTCGCCGCCCCGACAAACCATCAGGGTTCTACGGATCGAGGTCCTGGACGTCAACGACAACAGGAGCACCTTCACGTCGTCTAGCCTCGTCTTCCAGGTAAGCCAGGACGCGGCTATAGCAGCGTCCGCGGTGTGTCAAAAGTGTGTTTCAAGTTTGTCCGCCGCTCGGTCGGTCGGCCGGGGGGCCGGGGCCGGCCGCTGGCCCTCCTGCTCGGCTCTGCCCCACCCGCTGCGCGCCTGTCACCGCCTCCTTGTGCCGGCCGGTGCTTCCCTCGACGTCATCCTGCAACGCGAGCAACGCAAGCAACGCGAGCCCAGCCTGGCTGGCTGGCTGCCTGACCGCCTGTGCGCCTGCCTTGCCCGCCTGCCTGGCTGGCTGCTCGCTCCCATACCATCTCCTTTTATTTTGATCGCCTCATTGTTCCTCTCCTCCTCCTACTGCCCGTGCGCTCGCCTTGCGCACCCCTCGCACTTGCCTCTTGCGCTTGCCTTGCGCTTGACTCAACGCTCGTCTTGCGCCCGCCTTGCGCTCGCCTTCCGTCCTAGCATCCGTTTGCTCTCCCTTTTGTTCTAAATCGATGCGATGCGAGCCAAGCGAATCCTTTATTGGCAGCCCCGCTGCGCTCACTACTACTTGTCGCTCGCTCTCGGCGCGCTTACTCGGTCTTTTCGCGCTTGCTCGCTCTCAGCGCGCTTCCAGGCCGCACTGTACTGTGGTGTCCCACCATAGACGTGCTTAATTTCCCTAGAAACGGCGCGGCTCTGCTGCCGGTAGTTCTGCTGCATCTATTACCCCTTCATCGACCCTCTTCCCCCCTCTCTCCCCCTCAGCACCGCGACGTCCTCTCCTCTCCTCACTCTCGCCTCTCCCTTTGTCCCCCTCCGACTTCTCGCTCTCTCGCGGCATCCCGCCCACCCGGTTTGGGCGCAGGCCCTGCC